AGATCCTTCTGTATCTTAAGCCTGTCTTCTGGAGTGTTGGCTATTCCTGCCAGCTTGGTGTCATCTGCAAATTTGATGAGTTCCCCATTTATTCACTTACCTAAATCATTGATGAAGATGTTGAAGAGTACTGGGCCTAAAACAGAGTCTTGGGGTACTCCACTGCATACGCAATAGCACTTAGACTTATATACCGCTTCACGGTGCTTTACAGCCCTCTCTAAGCGGTTTACAGAGTCAGCATGTTGCCGCCAACAGTCTGGGTCCTCATTTTACCAACCTCAGAAAGATGGATGCCTGAGTCAACCTTGAGCCTGGTGAGATTTGATCTGCCAAACTGCTGGCACCCGGTGATCAGCAGAAGTGGCCTACAGTACTGCACTCTAACCACTGTGACCACCATGGCTCGTAAGGCTGTAGTACATTACATAAAGCAGAAATGAGGGTAAAGATTGCAACAGAGGCATCTGAACTCGAGTATCTGAATTATGACTCTATTCAGTATTTCTGTAAAGTCTACAGATTCCAATGTTTTTGGCCCAAGAAGCACATTTGCAATTTTAACTGTAGGTCATAAATATTCACACAAAATGACTGTTATGCAAAGATTGCTATACGCAAAATGATTTCTACAATGAATAATACCAATCATAAATATCCATTCAACAGAAGACAAACTCTGTGGAATTGCTTCAAAATCCATCCCCTGAATTCTCCTCATCTCTCCCAACTTTATTTCTCTTTTCCAGATAGGTAAGAAGTCATCTAAACAGTATCCAATCTGGGTGAGTCACTGGGACTAGATGTTTTGTCTTCCGAGTTTTTGGACTTGTGCTGGATAACATCCTCGGGGAACTTCTCTGTGACTGAGGATGGGCTCCAGCACGAGTCCGAAAGACAAAACCTCTGGTCCAAGTGACCGACTCAGATTGGATCCTGCAACATTATCCCGGGACACACATATTCGCCTTCATTTGTGAAACACCTAAATAAAATACCAGGTTATACCATTTTCTGTAACAGATGAAAACTGATGTTGATGCTTTGCAGCATGCCTGATTTTTGATATCCAAAGTTAAAACAAAAAGGCAGAAAAGGCCTTACATTTTATCAGAGCATTGCTCAATATTTTCTGTCTTGAAATGATCAAAGCTACCATATTTCCAATCAAGCCAGTCTATCTTAACTAAAGGTTAGGAATGGGATTTTATTGCTTTTACATGCATAGCAGATGCCTGGATATTAATCTTGCTTCTTTTAGGGCTTAGATGCCTACTGAAGGGTTGTTATTTTAATATGTATCTGACATCAGTTAAGTTTTCATCTTTTGATTCAAAAAGGCTCTGGCTTAATAATGTATATGTGTGAACTTAACCTCTTCCTGTAAGCTTTCATTCCAGGTGAACTAGTGCATTCGTTTCTCTTGGGCCCAACAATTAAAAGCAAACTGAAGTAATAAAAGCAATAGATAGCTACCCACAGCAGCTTATATACGCATCTAGTCTTGATGCGTATTCAGTGAAAGGTTTCACATGGCTCCTAGCTATATTCTGTTTCTGACTATCGTAATATACAGTGGGGCAAAAAAGTATTTAGTCAGCCACCAATTGTGCAAGTTCTCCACTTAAAAAGATGAGAGGCCTGTAATTGACATCATAGGTAGACTTCAACTATGAGAGACAAAATGAGAAAACAAATCCAAACAATCACATTGTCTAATTTGGAAAGAATGTTTTTGCAAATTATGGTGGAAAATAAGGCTTATATAAGACTTTT